CTGAGTGTGATTCATGATTAACTCTTGTGTGACTCAGGCTTCAGGGCTCTTGTGAATCTCACGATCAGTCATAGAGACGTTAATGACGAGCTCCAGGCGAGGACGGCATCATTTACTTTTATTTATTTTGCTGTTTTACTGTTGGATTATTATGAGATGGTAATCGGGCTGCACGATATTGAAGAAAAATGCGATAACTCATTAAATAATGCGATATTCCTTTAATGTCCCTTTAAATGCAAATGAGCTGAAGCTCCGCCTCTGTTCAGAAGGGGGCGGAGCCTTTACACGAGCTTCAGAGACTCCGGCAACAACAAAACTGGAGAATCTCGCGCAGCCAAAGTGTCAGAAACGGTCATTAGCGTTGTTCAGCCTTAACATGTTCAGAACCGGAGTCAGACACTGACGGAGAGACTTCACTTTTAGTTTAGTTGTTGTTGAGTAAAGTTGATTCAACTCATTAACTAGCATGTACCGTCATGTTAATCTACAAATCTTTCAGAAACAACTTTTGTGCAAATCCAGCGTTGAACTGACCCTCGGTTGTGAAGCAGTCCGGCGTTAAATAATTTGCGCTGTATAATACTTTAACGGTTTTGTTCAGGTTTGTAGGACAGATCGTCAACAGTCGTGGCGGGGCTTCTGGGGGAAAACTGGATGATTATTATTTATGGGGATTATAAAAAGTGAGGAGTGAGTGAGTGGAATTTTACCATTATAATCTGGTTGTTTACATACGCTGTTGACACCAGAGTTTCCGCTAGAAAAAAATGGTTTATTTAGTTCGCTATTAAATAAGAGATCTAGCGCTAAAATCAGTTGTTTTTTAAATCAAGCTGAGCGCTCGTGTCCGCTGCTATCAGTTGGATGGACGATGTGCTGCGCGAGTTGCGCAATCTTCACTTGGACGCGCGTTTCAATCCATCGCCGTTGCGGACAGGCGAACAGAGTAGCACAGGCGAAGCACAGGCGAAGCAAAGGCGAAGCACAGGCGAAGCACAGGCGAAGCACAGGCGAAGCACAGGCGAAGCACAGGCGAAGCAAAGGCGAAGCACTGCTACTTGGGCGCAGAGATATCACGCAACACCTGAAATAAAGCTTGCCACAAAGAACCGGCGAAAGTAATGATTATGCATGAAACATTTGAATTGTTGATAAATTGATAAAGTTGACGATGCAGACTCGCCATCTTCGCAGTAGTGAACGCGCCTAGAGAGAGAAATGCACACTTCATATGAACAAATTCTTATTTATTAATCCAGGCAAATTTGTTGATGAAACATTGATTAAAATGAAGATACAATTTATACAAAACGAAATAAACTTTAAAGAAAGGCTTTCTACAAAACAAAACTAAATAAGTGGTCAAAATCATGTCTGACCCATTCCAAATGTTTTCCGATATATAGGCCTATTGGTCATCTTATGATCCTATCTTACTCATCTCATGCGGTTCCCTTTTCATATAATCAACATAGATGAAATAAAAAAATAATAACATTATATTATTTATAAATACGAAAGGTTTGTTTAAAGGATTAGTTCACTTTTATAAAAACGTTTGCTGATAATTTACTCACCCCCATGTCATCCAAGTTGTCCATGTCTTTCTTTCTTCAGTCGAAAAGAAATTAAGGTTTTTGATGAAAACATTCCAGGATTTTTCTCCATATAATGCACTTTGCTGGGCACCAAACGGTTCAAGGTCCAAAAGACAGTTTCAGTGCAAACTGTTCAAAGGGCTTTAAACGATTCCAGACGATGAATAAGGGTCTTATCAAGCGAAACGATCGCTCATTTAAAAAATAAATAACAAAGTTTAAGTTTTATAAGCTCAAATGCTCGCCTTGCTCTGTTCTGTGTGACTCTCCTGTTCGAACTCGTTCATCAAAATGAACAAATCTTTTTCCGAGTCAATTCGTTCATTTCGGTCGTTGAATGATTAAAATGACTCGAAAAAAGATTTGTTCATTTTGATGAACGAGTTCGAACAGGAGAGTCACACAGAACAGAGCAAGGCGAGCATTTGAGCTTATAAAACTTAAACTTTGTTATTTATTTTTTAAAGGAGCGATCGTTTCGCTTGATAAGACCATTATTCATCGTCTGGAATCGTTTAAAGCCCTTTGAACAGTTTGCACTGAAACTGTCTTTTGGACCTTGGACCGTTTGGTGCCCAGCAAAGTGCATTATATGGAAAAAAATCCTGGAATGTTTTCATCAAAAACCTTAATTTCTTTTCGACTGAAGAAAGAAAGACATTGACATCTTGGATGACATGGGGGTGAGTAAATTATCAGCAAAAGTTTTTTTAAAAGTGAACTAATCCTTTAAGTTTTTTAACTTATAATAAGCGTCACACCGCTCCGCTTTGCTCACATGCTCTGGTGTGTAGTCTAATGCATGTGTGCGTGCATGTGGTGGAGAGGGGTGCGATTTTCGAATAATAATCAACCCAGCGATCTTCGAATATTATTTTTGCTTGGAAATTTCGTTTTGTATAAATTGTATCTTAATTTTAATCAATGTTTCATCAACAAATTTGCCTGGATTAATAAATAAGAAGCAAATATAGGCCTAGTGGACAATATAATCAGGACGGAGGCGCCGGCGCGTGCACACTTCTCTCTATAGCAGCGGTCGGGAACCTATGGCTCGCGAGCCATACCTGGCTCTTTGGCAAAAATCATGTGGCTCGCGAGGTCTCTCACCCTTTACCAACAAACAAGCGAAACAATAAAAAAGACACATCAATAGAGATCGGCTCTCTGCAGAAAAATCTGCCAGTTACAATTCCCTTGTAGCACAGTCTACTGAAGTTAGTTAAACGTTTATGATAATAAGTATATTCATGTTGTACCGGCTAAAGTGCGTAGCCTATTCAGTGCTGGTCGCGCTCACGAGTGTTAGTCATCAGAGCAATCAACTTGTCTCTGTGATAACCTACAGCTCCTGCATTGGGATTCAAGCAGCTGCAGCTTGTTTAAGGTAGGCATAATGGCGAAAATCAGCATAAACTTTAATACTTTCACTTTTGCCGCTGAGACCCTTTATGACAAATGGGTCGTATTTTTGATAATCCACGCAGATTTCAGTTGACGATTCTGTTTTAAGTTATTACTAACAAAAATTGAAGGAATGAAAAAAAGAGAAGGATGTGCTTTATATTGAAAAGAAATATTAAAAGCGCGATAAGTCGCGAAAGAGAACGGAATTACTGGCAGGATGCTGTGTGCGCGCGCAACACGGAAAAGCATAGCCTTTGTCTTCGGTCGTGCACCTAAACGGCCAAATAAATACAGAAATATATAAAAATGGCAAGTCGAGTATTCACGTAAACACAGTAAATGTAAGCTCTCTCTCTCTCTCTCTCTCTCTCTCTCTCTCTCTCTCTCTCTCTCTCTCTCTCTCTCTCTCAGACAGAGAGGATTTATGCTCATCAGTTGATAACTCAACCTCACAGTGAAAGCCCTTCACAATTAATATTGAAACTTTGCTAAATATTTGTTTGTTTTTAGCCTAATGCTGTTGAAATTATTGATAAAAAGCACGTCTTTAATAATAATATTATATAATTATTTTACGGTGGCTCTTTTGGAAAAATGCATTAACCAAAAATGAAAAAATGGCTCTTTGGTCAAAAAAGGTTCCCGACCCCTGCTCTATAGGCTCGTTCACTACTGCGAAGATGGCGAGTCTGCATCGTCAACTTTATCAATTTATCAACTTTATCAATAATTCAAATGTTTCATGCATAATCATTACTTTCGCCGGTTATTTGTGGCAAGCTTGCATTTGTGGCAAACATGCATTTGCCCACATATCTAAATGTAGGGGAGACCGTGAATAACCCCAATTAAATAAAACAAAACGGTGGAGTGTTCCTTTAAGGCTGTCCTGCCTGGGCCTGGCCATATCTGAAACGTCTCACTCAATCGTTCGGTGTTTAGGTCTATATTACAGCCGTTCTAGGCGTGCGCTTTATTTGAAATGCATGTGATGTTGTTTAATAACTTTCAAACGGTAGATCCTGTTCCTTTATAACATAGCCAAAAGTCGGTGTATTTTTGCTTTATACATTTTAGGCTTATTCTCGAATTCATATTGTGTTAGGGGGGCGGGATTATTACGCAATTTTAATCGGACAATTTGACCGGAGAGATTTATTTTTGTCGGACATTTCATTTTTTTCCCGGCCAATGTCCGGTAAATACCGGACAATGGAAACCCTGGTTGACACACATCTGTGTTCAAACACCTTATAAAAGTGAATTTTGCATAATAGGTCCCCTTTAACATTTTATTTAATCAGCAAATGAATACAGTTCAGTATATTATTTTAATCAGTAGCAAACTACGCATGTTTATACATTTTACAAATGTTTTCTCCATCTCTCTCTCTGTTATATTCAAGTTGAGCTTTATTGTCATTCAATAAAAGAAGTAATCGAATTAAACATCCCATTGATTATACAGGCATTTAACAACAGGTACAGACAGTGTAAAAGACATATTCAGGGGAAACAGTACAAGACACACACACACACACACACTCTTCTTGAGGCAAAATTTGAAGATTTCGTGGCACACTGAAACTAAATCTATTACGACACATGATTAGAGTGGAGTGTCGATTACAGCGTTATATTTCGATCTGCTCGCGTTAGTTTGCGTGATGAAATGAGATTCATTATGCAGCTCGGGTGATTATAGCGGTGAAAGCTGATGTGTCCGTCCAGCTCTAGTCGGCTCAAGTGTTTTAAAGAATGAATGAATGCTGTTTTCTGTTGAGATGATCGTTTGCTCGTCTCTGGACGGATGTTTTGTAGTGAAGAACAGCCTGAGTTGATGTTGTGTTGTCAAAACCCCATGCTGCACTTTTAAACTCAAATTCACAAAACTGTACAAATAACAATCACAAAGACAGATCTTTGACCAGCGCTCCACTAGTCCTGACTAATGCTGAGGCGTACTGATGTGTGTGTGTGTGTGTCGTTTAGGACCTGAACACCATCTACGCTCACCTGTACCACATGGACGTGCTGTCCCACCTCAGAGAACACCAGCTCAGGTGAGACTCAGCAACACACACACTAAATACCTCTCAAAACTTTGGGTGTCGGACTTTGTAAAGTCTCTTCTACTCACCAGAGCTGCATTTACTTGAGCAGAAATACAGTAAAGTCATACTTACATCATTACTCCAGTCTTCAGTGTCACATGATCCTTCAGAAATCACTCTAATATGAGGATCTGATGCTTAAGACACATTTATGATTATTATCAGTGTTGAAAACAGCTTCAGATTTTTGTGGAAACCGTCACACATTTTTTCTCAGGATTATTTGATAAAGAGAAAGTTCAAAAGAACAACATTTATTTGAATTAGAAATCTTTTGTAAGATTGTACATGTCATCCCTAGTGAAAACAATACGTATTTGAACAAGTGTACAAATACATTTACATATTTATATGCTTAATATAAATACCCTGCAATTGTACTTTTGGTGTATTAAACAGAGAAAGTCTGCCAAATTGGAAGAACTAATTTTGCACTTTAATTGATTAAATAATGCACTTTAATTGTGCAGAAATAGAGCTGATGTTCAACTAAAGATATACTTAAATATATTTGAATTGTGTTAAAGTGGAACTAAGTATACTTTAGATACACTTTAAATATCTTGCATTTAAAGACTGATATTATACAGAGATCATACTATCCTCAATAATAGTGATATTAAAACACATTTTAGGCTAAATATGAAGAAATATGCATTGTGCAATAAAGAAATATTTAATTATATTTTATAATTTTACATCACTAAGTTTAAAGTGATGTGTCAGTACATATGGTAATGGATTTGAAGTGTGAAGTAAATGTATTTTAAATAGATTTTGCCATAGTTTTTTGTTTTTTACTATGGGTTACTGTCACTTCTGATCAATTTAATGTGTCCTTGCTGAATAAAAGTATTAATTTCTTTAAAAAGGCGAACTTTTTTTCACTCTGTGTGTTACAGGTCCATGTGCATGACGGCCAGATATGAGCGTTATGATGCAAACCACGTTCTCTTCTAGTAAGTACATCCCTATGTTATATCATGATATTATAGTTATATGATTGTCAAATATGTGTAAGTGAATGTGTTTGTCGTTTATACAGCTATATAATGATCTATAACACGTGATGGGCGCCGCCATTTTAGGGTCTGTTTTACACAACACCGTTTTCAACTAAAAACGTAAATCTTTGTATAGGTTTTGGCCGTTCGTTTACACGACAGCGGCGTTTTGGGCGCCTGATACGCAAACTTTTGAAAACGGTCCGTGTAAACGACACAAACGCGAATCTCTGAAGACGATGACGTCATGCACATGCGTATCACGTGTTCAGTCCATAGTGTTTCATCGCCATCTAGTGGCCCGGCGGCAGAATACAGCGTTTTCAGTGTGAATCCAAATCCGCGGATCCGTGTGATTTGTTTTGTCGATGTCTGTACGCGGAAAACTCAAAGGAAAAACTTCTCAGTTTTAAGCGTATCGTTGTCGTGTTAACGTACCGGTTAGCTTGAATAGCAATTCAGAGAATCGGTATTACGTCATGTAAATTCATCCATTTCTCCCGAAATACATAAACGTAAGTGGCCAGAGAAGTGGGAGAAGAATAGAGTAAACTTTATAGTTATCTACACAATGTATATATCTGATATAAATACAAATAAGATATCAAATTATAATTGAAATGATTATTATTGGCGCTTCCATAAACATCAGTGTGTATTTCTCTAGAGACCTATCCTGCTGTCGACACTAAACGCCTGGGGTAAACGTAATGCCACGCGAGATATTATTCTCAAGCTGTTTTATTGATATTTTTCCGCAGTTGAAACACACTACACACAAGGTCTGATGCAACGTCTTTAATCAAAGCACAGGAGAATCAAAATGCATGAACACACAATGCACAAATGCACAAATGGCGCTGTCTCTCGTTAGCAATCGCGCCCTGCTTCACACCACAGTCATGATAAAACAATGTATTCACTCATCCATAAACATTATTAGATACAAATTTCATGATTCCGCTTATTCACTGCGTCATCAATCTACGCCTGTGTTATTGTAAGAGGTTTGTGACCCCTAGAAGCGAAAAAATGACACATTGTAGCTTAAGACGTCACGTCGAGGGTCCTTCATACGACTGTGATGTATTGCGATGATGTCACGATGCTGATGTCATATCCTGTTTGTCTTCCAGCGCTGACAGCATCTCCATGTGTTGGTTCGTCCTGCTCTCGGGATCAGTGCTGGTGAAGGAGCACATGTACCTGGCCCGATGCTGGTATGTGTGTGTGTGGACAACTGAAATCAAGCATGTGATGATGTCATACAAGTGATATGTGTGTGTGTGTGCGAGTTTAAAACAGCAGGGGTTTCACTTCCTCATCATACCTCTCATTTCTCTTTTTTTCTCATTCCAGCATTAGACTTCCTAA